AGGATATTACATGTAAATTATGGAATCACACTTAAGGGGCCTGCCAGTGTCAGTATATGTAATCGGTTTTGGTGGAACGCTCTAACATAACACATTTAAATCTATCTATCTAAAATATATATATATATGATATATATCATGCATATATTTAGAATCTAATGAAGGTAGGAACATCACATTAAAAGACGTTACACTATACAACATCCCCCCCACCCCTTTTTCCCCAACAAAAAAAAATTAATAGAAAAACAACACATCAGAACATCAAGAAAAAAAATTACACACCAACAAAATAAAACACCACAAAGAGGGAAAATAAAAGAGTAATCAGCAATTCAATACAAATCGTATGTAACTAACGTATTCAACAAAATGAACGTGGTGACAACAAGTGTGAAAGAGACGAAGTGAAGCTAAGTGAACTTTCTTTTAAAAGTAAAGAGGTTCGGTTTCTTTTTTAAAAATTTGACTTTTATTCCCCAATTCGGGGATCAAAAAATGCCAAAATATCGAGCTACGATTGATTGGTCGCGGCCACGACAAACGCAGATGCTAGTTCTATGTGTCGTTATCAATAACCCTCCATAGATCTAGATCTATATCTAGACAGCACACGAGTGAACACAACACATAAGTTTAAGAGCAGCACCCTTCATAGGCAACACGTCATATCTAGCGAAAAACTGGAACTGTAGCATTTCTTAATAATTGTATAAATATTTACTGCGGACATTTTTTGGATCGATTGAACCATATATATTGTATACGAACAATCTTTGGTAGGCCTATAATATAATTATAGATCTATACCGAAATTTGCGGGAAAGGATGATATTTCAGAGTGTTCGGAGAAATAGTGCCCAGCTTTATTTTCCCGAACGTTCGGAGAAATAGTGCCTGACATTTTTTTTATAGGATAGAGGGAGCAAAACACACAAGACCGACCTCCAACCACCCACTGCGTTATGTAGACAAAATTGGATTCTAGATCAAGATCTTATTAGACTAATGAAAGTAAAGTAAAGAAAAGTACTATCTCTAGAGGCCAAGAATAGTAGATTTCTAGGCTTTTATAGAAGCTGGCTGTTTGGTTTTGAAATGGGTCCATTTCAAATTCAAGCTGTATTTCCCTGAACGGTTTCCGTTCTCGAGATTTGTTGATAATACGTGAATGGAGTGGCACGTGAGTGTGTGTGTGCGTGTAAGATGTGAAATGATGGGGGGGGGGGGGGGGGGATTTTTTTTTATACATGAAAGATTTTAGTTCTTGCTGTGTGACTAAATGCAAAATAGGTTACTGCCAAAGTCGAGAAGTCTAGTTTTCTCGCAGTACCTTTTTTTGGAGGTATTTTCAAATGAAGTATGTCCGGGAACGTTGCCCCAACCGCGACTGAAGAGTCTGAATATTCAGAAAGATGACGCCTAAATCTCGCAAATAACCAAAAAATCTGGAGATCGAAAACTGCTAGGAGAAATAGAGTTCAGCTTTATTTTCCCAAACATTCGGAGAAATAGTCACTTTGAAAAAATTTATATAAAAGGACACCTCTCTATTCTCACCCCGGGTGAGAATAGCGAAGGCAAGCCTTTTTGGTGTTCACCGTGACAGGCCAACCAGTGTAACGTTCACCGTGAACAAAGGTTCCAGCGCTCTTGTGTTGGAAGTGTGCAATTTTGACACTGTGAACAGTGAGAGAGAGAAAGAGAGGAGAAGAGAGAGAGAGAGAGAGAGAGAGTTGCGAAACTTCCGGGCAAAACAAAATGGCGACTCGAAGTATGGCTTGATTTGAAAAGTGAAATTGGCGTAGCAGCTTTGTAGACAGCCAAATTAACTTTTTTGTGCTTTAACTATTTTCCCTTTGTTTTTGTCAATTTGCTTGTCAACACCGAAAGACTAGGCCTATTCAGAAAGAGAAAGAGAGAGGAGTAGCGAGAACTTCCGGCTCCGGGCGAACCCCAATAGTTTGGCTTGATTTGAAAGTGAAATGGCCATGTTCATGTTATAATGTAGCATCTTTGTATACATCTAGAATACAATCAAATAAGTAGGCTACTTTTGAGCAAGATCTAGATCTAGGCCTAAACCTAGAGAATCTACATTCTAGATCTAGATCTATAACATGATCATCTTTTTCTTTGTTTTGGGCAATTTGATCATCAACGCAGACAGATCTAGAAATATCTAGACAGTTTTCAGAAATTAGGAAAAACAGGTCTCATTTCACACCGAGTGAGAATAGCCAAGGCTGGCAAGTCTCACTCCAGGTGAGGAGAGGTCGATCGTATTTTAATTCTTACCGGGGCTACGGGAGGACTTCCGTAACGAGCGACCACTATGAGACAGTAGAATTGAGGGCTTGGGGTAGGGGTAGGGGAAAGGGTAGGGTTAGGGTTAGGGGTCTAGGCCTCTTCTTTATTGTGTTTGATGGGGTGGTCGCTCGTTACGGAAGTCCTTCCGGGGCTACTTCCAAAAATAAAACGAAGTGGCTAGCCGTACTTAAGTACAGCCATACTGCCAGTCTAGCCGTACTTAGATCTAGGTTTGGCCCAATCGACTCAAGCCTGTTAAGTACACAGGTCTCATTAGATCTAGATCTAGTAATTATTCAGGTTCAAATACATGCAAGTCAGTAAGGCAAGGCACCTTTTGGTTTTGTCTGAAATACAAATACTTTAGGCATTGCAAACTAAAAATTTCATTTACAATTCAGCCATCAATATTAAGTACGGCTAGCCTGACAGTCTAGCCGTCCTTAAGTACAGCTAGCCTGGCTGTCTACCCGTACTTTAACTTAAGTACGGCTAGACAAGAAGTCTAGCCGTACTTAAGTACGGCTAGACTGCCAGTCTAGCCGTACTTATCTTACGCCCTATTAACATTAGAAAACAGGAGGTTTAAAATACATGCACTGTCATTAAGGCACCTGGTTTTGTCTCAAATACAAATACTTCAGGTACTGCACACTAAAAATGTATATTTACAATTCAGTAGGCCTATTTTTTGTATGGTAAGTCCAGCCATCATATAAAGCATAAAAGTACTCTAGCCGTCATTAAGTACGGCTAGCCTCTTCCAAAATAAAACCGTCCACATAGATTCTGTATTTTAAAAAAAAGGTACTAGTGTCAATTGCCACCGAGTGATGCGGTGGCAATTGACAAAAATTGACTTTTTGTCAATTGCCACAGAGTAAATTGGAGCTCTTTTGCGTTGGTGGGTAGATCTAGCTTCTTCATTATGCTCGAGTGCTTGGTGTTGTGCGTTCGCCTCTCTGACCCTCTGTGTGTGTGTGTTTGTGTGTGTGTGTGTGTGTGTGTGTGCGTCTTTTTCCGACCCCCGTCCCCCGATTTATGTTCCCCGATATAACTATTTTTTATAACGTGAATTTCTGCTTGAGTTTGTGCGTTTGTGACCTTCTACCTCTAGAATTGCCAGTGTTGGTTCTACACCAAAGTGTAGGCTAAGGCTAGCCTAAATCTAGGCCTATGTCTAATTGAAAAGGAAGTGGCTATTCTCATCCGGGGTGAGAATAGAAAAACGACCTACCTCTCATCCCGGGTGAGACTTGCCAGTGTAGGCTATTCTCACCCGGTGCGAAACAAGACCTGCTTTTCCTCATTTTAGAATACTGTCTATCGGTGTGGATGATCAAATTGATAAAAGTAAAAGCCAAGAAAAAATTACGTTATAGCACAAAAGTAAGCTAATTTGATCGTCTTCAAAGATGCTATGGCTATTTCACTTTTCGAATCGAGCCGAACTACGCGGGTCGCCATTTTGTATTGCCCGGAAGTTCTCGCAAGATCTACTCCTCCACCATCTCTCTCTGTCTCTTTCTGAATACTGTCTATCGGTGTGGACGATCAAATTGACCAAACAAAACAAATTTTAAAAATGATGTTAAAACACAAAAAAGTAAATTAATTTGGTTGTCTACAAAGATGCTACGGCTATTTAACTTTTCGAATCGAGCCGAACTATGCGGGTCGCCATTTTGTTTTGACCGGAAGTTCTCGCGCTACTCCTCTCTCTCTCTCCACTGCCCACAGACAAAACTGTACGCTTTTACTTTTAGTAGACTACAGTAGTAATGGAACGTTTGTTCATGGCACAGAATTCTACAATTTTTCTGTTATCACAGTGTAAAATTCTGTGGTTTAGGGTGAACGCAAAATTTGTTGGCCTAGATCTAAGCTATATAACGGTGAACGTGCACCGGGTGAGAATAGCCAAAAGACTCGCCTGCACTATTCTCATCCCGGGTGAGAATAGAGGTGGTACCGTAGCTCTAGACTAATCTAGATGCTCGTCCAATTAGTTGAGAACAAATTGACCCATTAGTATTAGACACACATTAATATTATATGGGTAAGCCATATTATGTATTGCTAAAGATAGTGTTTTGAGACTTGACACCGCTTCACTCGGTGGCAATTGACAAAAAGTCAATTTTTGTCAATTGCCACCGCGTCACTCTAGATTAGATCTAGATCTAGATTTCTAGATCTAGAGATCTAGAGTCTAGATTAGATCTAGATCTACCTAAAAAGAAAGACATGACATACACAATCACTAAAATGAGCTAGAGAATCTAGTTTGTGACAACAAAGTCAAATGCTGTGATGACAGTGTTGATAGCGTGTTGATGAAAAAAAGCCAGTCGCTGGCGAGACAAATTATAAGATAACAGTCAATAAACAGGGGCGGGGGGTAGCCTGGTACATCAGACATCCAGTGAAAAATCGATCTAAATCAGGGCTCTCTTCATGAGTAATTTGGCTCGAAAATAAAACGTTTTTTCGATTAGCCACAAAAAAAAGAGAATTTCTACACTCTCAGGTAACACCTCTTCATCACTTTCTCGTGAGGTGCCGAGTGACAAGCGACTGAGCTTGAACAAAATGGCGGTGGGCTCACACACACGACCCATAATTACTCATAGTAAAGGAAAATGGAGGACTAAATCGCATTAAAAACATGCTATCGGAACAATATTTACCCATTCCTTCCGAGCGATCCATTCCTGGAACCCTCAAGGTGAACAAATCAGTTAAATTACTTGAAACAACCGATTCTTTAACTCCACTATCACCACATTCACCTCGAGTCTGAGGTAAAGTAGTTACCCATAATGCACCTGCGAATTTTTAGCATAATAAAAATAGCAATCTCCTTTTCGAAGCTGTTTTGTTGGAAATCAGTTTCTTTAGGCTATGCTAAACTTTTTTCAACTCAGATCTTGCTACAAAGAGTGGCACAATTTATTTCCAAAAATAAAATATACATAAAATTTTATTAATTCAATTTAGCGCACTGCAAGCACCCTCCCTCCTCCCGCCCTACAGTTTCCGACACCATCTTTTCCCCTCCCCGCCCTGTCAGGGACAATCGGATGGAAGGGGTCATTAGTTCAAGGGAATCTGCTCAGACGGGGCGGGTTCACCGGGTTCGCAGTGACCTGGCAAGTAGTGCTCAGAAATGGGTCAACTAAAACAAGGGCTCGCAACCAGTGGATCGCGGCTCCAGGAGAGATCTCGAGGGCTTGGTTTGGGGCGTGGGGGAGGGAGGCAGGAGCTTGATCCCGGCCCATTGCTGGTGAACAATGAAAGAAATCACTTTACTTAAAGTTTCCGGATCTTATAGAAGATGTCG